TTTTTTCTTTCTTTCTTTCTGTCTGTCTGTCTGTCCTTTTTTCTTTCTTTCTTTCTTTCTTTCTGTCTGTCCTTTCTTTAATCCGTCCATCCTTCTTTCTTTCTTTCTTTCTTTCTTTCTTTCTTTAATCTGTTTTCTTTCTTTCTTTCTTTCTTTCTTTCTGTCTGTCTGTCTGTCTGTCCTTTCTTTAATCCGTCCATCCTTCTTTCTTTCTTTCTTTCTTTCTTTTTCTTTCTTTGTCTGTCTGTCTGTCTGTCTGTCCTTTCTTTAATCCGTCCATCCTTCTTTCTTTCTTTCTTTCTTTCTTTAATCTGTTTTCTTTCTTTCTTTCTTTCTTTCTGTCTGTCTGTCTGTCTGTCCTTTCTTTAATCCGTCCGTCCTTCTTTCTTTCTTTCTTTCTTTCTTTCTTTTTCTTTCTTTGTCTGTCTGTCTGTCTGTCCTTTCTTTAATCCATCCGTCCTTCTTTCTTTCTTTAATCTGTTTTGTTTCTTTCTATTTCTTTCTTACTTCCTTTCTTTCTTTCTGTCTGTCTGTCCTTTCTTTAATCCGTCCTTCTTTCTTTCTTTCTTTCTTTCTTTGTCTGTCTGTCTGTCTGTCTGTTTGTCTGTCTGTGTCTTTCTTTCTGTCGTTGTTTTAATTCTGTATTTTGCTGTATCTGTATAAAAGTGTATTTTGCCGCATATGTGTGTTTTGTATTGGAGTCATTAGATGGAAGCCAATAATTCTGTTGTGGGCATTTTGTTGGGTCAACACAGCTTCCTTTTTAATTTTATATTGATGGTCTTTAATAACCAAGTGTCCTAATTTTTGTTGGCGATAACGCTGAAACAAACATCTCTGGGTATTAGTCAAACCCCATTGGACAGTAATAATCTGATGTTGAACAGTTATTGTATATCTAGCAGTTTGCAATCGAGGGCGTATGACAAGACTAGACATGATTGCTCTGAAGTCTTTATAGTACAGTAGCCATCTAGAATCGTCTATGGCACTAATTGCGCAGAGGCTGATTAGCAATTGTAAGTGGTTCGTGGACGTGCTGTTGATAGGAGAAATGCTGATGGGGTGCTTTTCCTGTTAACCTAGTGGTGTGCTGTACATGGCATAATTAAATTGCCCCATGTCTCCTAACCCCACTGTAATATTAGCAGAGTTTATACAGTCATTCATCAAAAAATCCCTCATCAGAGATGCTGTACAGGGCTAGCGGAACCTGCTAAGTTAGCACACAGCTGTTTGTGGTGAGAAGGAATCACAGTGAATAGTCAACGAAACAGACCTGAAATTTTCTTTATCAGCATATAGCTGTATTAGCTTACTAGTAATAAGGTAAACTAATAAGTGATTTTTTCTGTAGTTGTTATATGCTAATACTTGAAACTTCAATGCATGGTTTCTAACAATAATTTCACATTAAATACTGATTTGAGTTGAAATTATTTTATGCGAGAATAAAATAAATAAAAAAATGCATAATAATAATTATAATAACAATAGTAACAGTTATTATTGTAATTAATATTAATAATACTATTTTATTATTATTATTACTACTATTAGTAGTATTATATAATTAAAACAATTTAATCATTTTATAATAATTTTCACATTATTTTAATGTGTAATAAATATAAATAAAATTAATTTATTCTTATTTTCCCCCAAATAAAATTATCTTCAAATTCAAATACATTTAATGTATTTGATAAATGGGAAAAAAATCAATTTCACCTTTTTTTTTTTGAACAAGACAAAAGCAAGAAAAAAAATTACAGGGTAAATATTATCATCTCTGATTATTTAGTTAGCCTTTCTTAATGGCATTTGACCAGTGCTGTAGACATGTTTCAAGTAACTTTATGTTCAAGATTAGAAATAAATAAACACATAAATTAAAAAAAATAAATAAACGTTTATTTATTTATTTGTTTGTTTTTGGTGCATCTGTACACTAAAACCTCAGACTTTCCCACTGACTTTACCTCAGGAGAACTTGAGCTGACCTCTGACCAGTGAGACTATGATCCTTTCTTTGTGGAGTGATTTATGTGTCTTCCTTAATATCGATCGTGTTCTGGTATGATCAAAGGTGCACCTAAAAGCCAGCACTGAGAGAGACCATTATTGTGGATTTGGCTTTGCTCATACATTATTTATCTCCTCGGGCCTGTTCTATATGCCATTATGGACATTATGAAAGAAGGGAGCCACTGCCTTACCGTTTACTTAGTGTAAGCACAGGATGCACGCAGCAGAGATCGGATACAGGGTAATAAAAATGCCATAAAGAGGATATTGAGATGCTCTCCCGCCACAGAATGTGCAACATTCCCTATTGGAAATGCGCCCCTGATTTAGGGAACAGGAGATGGAGTAGTTCTTCATGGCATCCATGAGATATAGTGGAGGGTTTGGAGTGGGAAGTGTTCAGTGAGTTAGAGCTTTGGCTTTCAGTTTGTTAGCAGTGTGATAGCGATGTATGTAGCTGGTAAATATCTACTGCTTTCTCTTTTTCTGTTCCTCTTTCACTAGCGCAAAGCCCGTGTTGAAGCCATGATGCTGGATTTGGCTTCCTTGAGGAGCATCCGAGAGTTTGCAGAGATCTTCAAAGCCAGGAAACTGTAAGTAATACACAATACAACAGAACTGTGATACAAGGTTTCATTGCGCACCTTGATGAACGCTGACTAGCTCATCGTGAAAAGCTTTCTGCTTGCTCCGTCCTGAGACCGACCCCCCTTCACCCGGCCCCCGGCTCCATTAACGAACTATCGCATCAGAGAAGGGGCCAAAAGGTCTCCCCTCTTTCATCGTGACCCCTCATCCTTCTCTGTGGTCAATAAATAAGTAGCCGAACCGTAGCTATAATTCCATCAATCGCAAAGCCACAGATTGGTAAGTCCTTCACAGACTCCTAGTTAAATCAATTACTGCTCCCAGCTTTCGGGAAGTTGAAGTGCACATCATGCTGGGATAAAAGTGGAATTGACTTTTAAAAACAGTGTAAACGTGTGGCAAAAAAATGAATGAATGAATGAGTGAGTATATATATATATATATATATATATATATATATATACACACACATACATACACACATGCATGTAAATAATTTTAAAATATATACATGCATGTTGTGTGTATTTATATATACATAATAAATATACACAGTTCACACAAATATATTATCTAAACAAAAACTTTTATTTTGGATGCGATTAATTGCGATTAATCGTTTGACAGCACTAAGGACATTACATTTAAATACGAGGGGGTCTATACTGTATGTCCATTCACCACCCCTTGGCCTGAAAATTAATTTTGAATTATGAATGGCTTGAAGTCTGGATTAATTAAAATTCTCTCGAAAAGAACATTGATTATGTAGTATTATCCATTATTTGTTGTCATCATGTTACATAAGGTTATTTAATATGATGCAGAGGTGAAGCGTTTAACAGTTTCAGCGTGTCTTTTGTATGCCTTGTATTATCATATCAATACAGTTTTTTTTATCTGTAAACATTCATTAGTTTTTTAATGGTGAGCTGCAGTGATCAGTAATTAGGCTAATGAGCCATAATTATGATTTTATATAGACGTGTCTAGAATTTTCTCGGCTCTGTGAGAACTGTGCCAGTTCAGATGTAGCATCTTATACTGTCGTTTTCAGGGGAAAAATTTATTTTTGTATTTTAATATAATTTTAATACAATTATTTGATTATGAGTTAAATATTATTGCTGTTTTGATGTTGCTCATTTCGGGTATATCATTGTCAGACATGGCTCTATTCATAGCGAAATGTTTTGAATCGGGTTCCTTTTCTGCTCCATGCTTTCCTCGTTCATGGATCTTCCTCCTTCGTTTTACTGCGGCACGGCTTTGACCTTCACAGCTCCATCAGCTCACAATCCATATTTAGTGAGTTGCAATACAGTTTTTTTATCTGTAAACATTCATTAGTTTTTTAATGGTGAGCTGCAGTGATCAGTAATTAGGCTAATGAGGCATAATTATGATTTTATATAGACGTGTCTAGAATTTTCTCGGCTCTGTGAGAACTGTGCCAGTTCAGATGTAGCATCTTATACTGTCGTTTTCAGGGGAAAAATTTATTTTTGTATTTTAATATAATTTTAATACAATTATTTGATTATGAGTTAAATATTATTGCTGTTTTGATGTTGCTCATTTCGGGTATATCATTGTCAGACATGGCTCTATTCATAGCGAAATGTTTTGAATCGGGTTCCTTTTCTGCTCCATGCTTTCCTCGTTCATGGATCTTCCTCCTTCGTTTTACTGCGGCACGGCTTTGACCTTCACAGCTCCATCAGCTCACAATCCATATTTAGTGAGTTGCAGTATTAGAGGTGACGTCCTGGTTGTGTGGGGCACGTGGAGATGCCGCCGGTGTCCCCAAGCCCTCGAGGGGCTGCAGGACTCATCTGGCCCCTGGCTGGCCCCGGGGCAACGGCAGCAGCTTGGTCAGCAGCCAAACCCCTGGAGGTGACCCCCACCCTGTCCCAGAGCCAAACCCCCCTCCACCCATCTTCAGTCAGTCTGACTTTCTTAAACGCTTATTTTCCCACACGCTGACAGGTATAAAATGCGTGACCGTGGCTTCTGATTACAGGATCTCTGAGCATTGTTTCCCAAAGTGACCCTGAGAAAGATGTGTGTTGGGATCTTTTCCAAAACCTAGTTAGTTGCCTTGCCTACAGCCTACATAGGCATCTGCTTTCTAAGGCACTATCCTAACTGAAACGGAGCCTTAAAAGTGACCGATTGCACCTGAAGCACATAGGAAACTCAATTTCATTGATTCTACTGGAGTTTGCTCTTAGCATTTTGCTAAGCTACCAACGCAATACTCACACAGGCATAAAAGGTCATTTTTTTGTCATTTTGAGATTGCCCTCTCTGCAAAGAATGCAGTACTGCCTTAGAATTTTGGTCTGTGTACATTTGCGCCTATTAAAAATGTACACAGACCAATTTGCCTTTGAGTTTTTGTTTTGTTTTGCTTTGATTTGTTTTGCTTTGTGTACTTGTATTACTTTTTGTTGTTAAAGTTTTTTTTTCTTTATTTTGCTTGTTTTTTTCTTTGCTTTTATTTAGACTTGTTTTGCTTTGCATTCTTTTTTTGTTTTTATCCAGTTTTGTTTTGTTTTGTCTCATTTCGCTTGTTGTGCTTTTTATGCTATGCTTTGCTTTGCAAAGCTTTGCATTCTGTTCATTTTGTGTTGATTTTTGTTTTGCTTTGATTTGTTTTGTTTTCTTTTGCTTTTTTTGCTTTGCTTTGCTTTTTTGTTTTGCTTTGTTTTGCTTTGCTCTGCTTTGTTTGGTGGTGTATCAGAAGGTGTTTGAAACGGAGTCTAGGAGTGTATAGCGCTTAGCTTAGAATTTTAAAATGGATTATCTGGAGCAACACTGGGTCTGAATTTGTTCATTTTTGGATACAGCCATGTGTGTGTACTTGGTATTCCCTACGTTATAGGGACCCAATGTCCCCACAAGGATAATAATACCAGTAAATTTTGATTCCCAATGAGGAAACAAAATTATAAATCATACAGAATGAAGTTTTTTGTCTTTATCTAAAACAGCAGGAAGTTTTGTGTGAGGGGTAGGGTTAGGGTAAGAAGATAGAAAATACAGTTTGTACAGTATAAAAACTATTACGCCTATGGAATGAACCCATAAAACATGGAAGTGTGTGCGCGCAAGTGTGCATGCATCTACGTTTTCCTTTTTTCATACGTTTTCCTTTTTCTGTAATGGCTTGTTGGTTAAAGTGACAGTTCAGGCTTGTGCAGATCTTTCTCATGTCTGTGCCTCAGCCTTACAAACACATCTGGGCTGGTCAGCTTATAATGGAAGATTAACCTATTAGTTTGGGACCCAAAGCATTTATTTGGCCCATTGACACCCATAGTTAGTGTAGGGATTGTTTCAAACACTGGACTAGATGGTGAGAGTACTTTCTTCCTGATGCTTTGAACCAAACTGGACTTAAGGAAAATTTCCATGGACTTATATTTTTCTCTGTCTGTCCTTATGATAGTTACTAGTGTAGTAACTTTAAGTGTAGTAAGTGTTTGGTACCTTTGGTTTCAGGATGCAACTTTCCTGCTTCTCAAAAGTAATTAGTTGTGCTGTTTAGTTTATTTATTTTGTGTGCGTGTTGTTTTTCTGTGCTTGGCATTGCTTGTTTTTTTTTTGTTCTGTTTTGTTTAGTTTGTTTTGTTTTGCTTTGCATTCTGTTTTGTTTTTTTGTTCTGTTTTTATTTGCATTCCATTTTTTCCGTTCTGTTTTCTTTAGTCTTGTTTTGCTTTTCTGTTAGTCATATGACATTTAATGCTCAGTTGATTGGCTAAAACAAATCTAACGTCTTGGGGTTTATTTGAATGCTACAGATTTCCAAGCAGGATTTGACCTTTAGAATGACCTCATCTGCTATCCAGTGCTCTTTCATACACACCTCATGCTCATGTAACCCGGACCACCGTGATCATACCCAAGCGAGTGAGTGAATGAATGAATGAATATCCTCTCTCTCCCTTGCCAAGGTTGTATTTCTTCATTAGCTGTTCCCAGGCTGTGTGTGTGTGAGCGTGAGTCCCAGAGGAGGTGGAGTAGATTAATTCTCATCAGAATGGAGAGGTGCTCAGGTGTGAATGGCAGCAGGCAGCTGGTGAGTCCACGCCACGCCTCCCTGTTTCTGTTTCCGTCGAGATGTCTGCAGGCGCTGCTAGCACTCACACACATTAACAGTTACTGCCATTGGAACTTAATTCAATCACAGCTGCTTTTACCATTTTTCTGTAGCCTGTCTTTTCTTTTGTAGCCGTTTGTAAACCCCCACCTTACCTTGCCCGCTCCCTCATTTATTTTCTTTCTTCTCTCACTCCTGTTCTCTTTGTTCTTCGCCCTCAGTATGTTCAGGTAGGCACAGGAAACATATTTCCATGTACTTATCTTTGCTTTGTTCTCATCAGGTTTTTGTAGTGTTTAATTAACTCAGTCACACGACCATATGCTGTGAAGTGAAGTTGATCGCCTATGATGTTTAATTTCACCAAGCGTTCGCTGTGTATTGATTGCTTGTGGACAAATTCCTGACTCAAGGTGTTCAAACCAAGAGCAATGCAATAAAGTGACAAAGATATGCAACAAAAAATGCCAGCAAATATTCTCACCAAAACTAGTTTTTTTTTTCTGTCTCTGAGAAAAGTTTGCATACTTATGTCAGTCAAGTTCACTACGGTAAAACACATGCTTTATTGCAGTAAGCTAATAGTGCAGTACTCATATAAGCATAAAAAACATCACACACACAAATAAACAATTATGAAGTCCGTCCATCCATCCATCCATCCATCCCAAAACAAAGAATGCAATCCTGGCTTAGAATTTGCTTTTACCCCCCTGTTTTGTTTTGATTAGTTGTTTGTTTTGTTTTGATTAGTTTTGTTTTGTTTAGTTTTATTTTGTTTTGTTTTGATTAGTTTTGCTTTGCTTTGATTAGTTTTGCTTTGCTGTGATTAGTTTTGCTTTGCTGTGATTAGTTTTGCTTTGCTGTGATTAGTTCCCTTTTGAACGTTCACTTCACGT